GAAAGGATCTCGCACCCAACATATGAACTTTGGCTCCCGGCCAATTTTTCTGGAACTGATATATGTTGTACTATATGACCGCCCGCGTGTGTGCGTGTGTTCGTATCTTGCAACCATGTTTCGAGAAGTAGTCATGAAAACGACTTGTTTTGGAGAATACGTGACAATAATTCGTCACGAACAGTAAAACGATTGGTGAAAAGCTGTTCACTACGAAATGTCAATCGAGAAGTAATCTTAAAAACGACTTTTTTAAAAAAACACCGGCATTAGTCATAAAAACGATGGTTTCAAAAGATTACTTGGACAATATTATCTGTAAACAGTAATATTATTAAAATAGGGAAAAGGAAATAAACAATAAATAATTAGAATATATACACACACACACGCACACACGCACGCTCGTACGCGCACATATACACACATAAACATATCCCATTTACCGCCAGATTTCTGACAATGATAAGGGCTAAAACGAAACTTTCCACCTCTATGTATTCCGATAATTATTAATTTTCAGATTTAGGTTCCATGGAGATTTTTGCTCGGGCGGTCATATAGTACAACAGATGTCAGTTCTAGAAAAATTGGTCGGGAACGAAAATCCATATGTTGGGTGCGGGGTCCTCCGTGTGAAGCTCGTAGACAAGATGTGTCAAGTTATGCCAATTTTGGTTTTAAAATTTTCGAAATTTTGATCATAATCTGGTCTAGCGATAAATATGAATATATTGAACTTTGAATCTTGAACCTATCGCTAGGCACAATAGCCGTCATGTAATTGTAGGTTAGGTCATTCTGAAGAAAAAAATCTTTTACCATTTTGCAAATAAGTATGCAAATTTTCAAGTTAACAATTAAAAGAGCCTCTAGATTTGATCATCTTCAATAATTAATAACTTTATAAAAAATTGCGATTTTTACTTGACTTTTCTTCGCAGTTTGATCTGATTAATCTTCAGAATTATTTGTTTTCAAAAGATTCCGGACACTCTATATATCTCTAACGATTCTGTAATTGTATCTTTCATAAGTAAAGTGAATTATCGATTAAGTTTTGATGCTCCCCAAGTTTCTTCGAGCAAAATTCGGAAAATAGACGAAATCGTCACAGAGCCGAATAACTTTTTTACTCGTACGAACCTCTTCACTTTGAATCGTCGAGCGAATATTTCCATACAAAAGCGAAGAGTAAATCTAAAACGTAATCCATCGTTAATGGAATATACTCATTATAACCAACTGAAGGAACCTTCATTCGTATAAAAAAAAATGTATTGTGAGTGTATTCTTATCTAAATAAAATTATGTATAAATAATCAGCCAGATAAAGTTCTGACGCCGACTCATCTCTTTATTTGAATAATATAAATATACAGGGTATGTATAAAAAGTACCGGGACGATGGAACATCACAAAAACTAAGCATTTTAGAAAAAAATGTTTCAAATAAAAATTGTAGGGTTGCAAAAGATCTATTGACATTATGAATCTTATTGACATTATGAATCTTATTGACATTATGAATTTGATCTTGGGTAGCGTCGCCAAGGTCAGGACAAGGTCACCTTGAATTTTTTAAATAGGACCCCCTATTTTTTGTCACATATTACATATTCTTGTAACCCTTTTTCAGACCTTTTCAAAGCACTACAATTTTTTCCACTTTGAGTAAGCCGTTTTGAAGTTATCGAGCTTTTTATAATAAGATGTTCAGCCAACCAAAGCAAAATCAAGAAAGTATGCGGTCAAGGTAAGGCAAGATCAAAGAAGTATCCAGCCAGCCAAGCCAAAATCAAAGAAATATCCAGCCAGCTAAGGCAAGATGATCATAAAGGAAAACTAGCAATTGAAAGCGCAATTAATGTATCAAATGCTCAAATTTTTCACCATTCATTGTTTGACAATGCACTAACCGATGATAAAAACCTGAAACAGCATCTTCTTACAAAAGCGTTTGAGAATAATGTTAATCTCTAAAAGAAGAAGTAAAGTCTAACGAATAAGCTAGGAAACAAAAAGATTTATCCAATAAACAGAAATTTGTATTAATTAGATAACAAAATCGATAATTCAATAAAAGAAAGGAAAATCAGTAAGAAGAATCATTTATTTTTTCCGTACGAAACAAAGCGTATCATGTACAAGTAATGTGTTCTACTTCAAGTCAAATTCATTGCAAATTGATTTAAAATAATTCGAAGGTGAATTTTAGCGCTGTTATAAATTTAGTACATTAGTATTACTTTTTAATATTACATGTGTCTGAAATACAAGTCACGAAATTGCTCCAGCCGCTGGCTGGACATCTTACCATAAAAAGCTCGATAACCTCAAAACTGCTTACTCAAAATGGAAAAAATTGTATTAAATCGTGAAAATTGATTTAAAAAGGTCTGAAGAAGGGCTACAAGAATATGTAATAAAAAATAGGGGATCCCATTTAAAAAATTCAAAATAACCTTGTCCTGACTTTGGCGACGCCACCCAATGTCAAACTCATAATGTCAATAAATAGATCTTTTGAAACCCTACAATTTTTATTTGAAACATTTTTTTCTAAAATGCTTAGTTTTTGTGATATTTCACCGTTCCGGTACTTTTTATACACCTTGTATATTATTCTCACATCCGCATCTCTTAAGCTGAAGCGCTATCTTCACAAAATTATCTAAAATGACATTTCCCAGATAATTTGATCTACATTCCTATAAAAGTGTAAAACATTGAAATAGTTTCCGCGTTGCGTCATTGCGCATTAGTCGCTCGCATCAGACGACATTAAAACCGAGATGGCATCGAGATTTACTTATAATTGGAACAAAGTGCCAAGAAGAATGTATCTTTCTACTTTATACTTTATCTCAATTTATCTTACTTTTACTCCAGCTGATTTGAAGATAATCTAAATTCACAGTACTGAACAACTTTCAACTAAACACTCGCTCTCGCGACTTGCAGTAGCGATGTTACCGCTATTACTTCGAATGAGCTTTCATTTCCATCCCACTGAATTTACGACGGTATTCACGATCGAAACTCACATTTAAACCCTCTTAGCTGTCAATGACGGAAATATCCGCGCGAAAAAAAGAAAAAAATTTTGTAACAGAGCAAATGGAATAGTATATTTTTGTTTTCGGGGTCACTGAATTCAAATTCGCGAGGTCGAAATTGCGAATTTCAAAAGGGCGGAAAGAAAATTGAAAAAGTCGTTCAGTTCAATTTTGATCCCGAATTTAAATTCAGCAACTTAAATTTGCGCAGACATCGAGTTAAGCAATATTGAACTTCTTCAAGCCGCTATTTCTCAAATTCAAAAAAAGATTTTAAATTATTATCAATTAGTATAAAAATTGGTCCTCAAGCGTTTTTTAAACCGGTGATTTCGAATTCGAAAGAAGAGTTTCAAATATAAAAATGACAAAACTAATGATAGCTTCATTGTAAACATTTTTCTTAGAATGCATGGATATTTTCGTCATCAACGGTTTGCGCCACTTTTCTCTCCGCGGACATCTCCGTCTTTAACAACTTAAGGAGTTGAGATCGTCTGAAATTCTTTTCTTCGTCGGATCAATCTCCATGCGGATCGTCTCGCGATGAGCTTGAGATGACCTTAACGAACGCACATCGCGTCTGGCAACATCGGAATTTCTTCGAGAACACAAAAACACGTCTCCACCCCAGAGTAATTCCATTACACCGGCCGCTGGGAGCGAGAGGGGGTAAACCGCTTTAGAGATAGGGAGATCAGGTGGAAAATCGATGGATCGCAGCCGCGGACTCGCCTAGCGCCTCTTTCCCGCGGAGGGTAGTGCGTCGTCGGACGTGGATGACAATGCAGCGCGCGCGATCCATCGGCGAGGGGTGGTCTCGCAGAGTGGGTGTGGGTGGCAGATGCGTCAGGCGCCGACTCGACTCGGCTCGGCTCGAGCCGAGTCGATCGCGTCGTCACGTTCGTGTGTGGTACATACACCGGCCGACGATGATGATGATGGCTCGGCGCGGCGCCGGCATAGGTACAGACTCGGGCAAGATGGTGGGGATCGTATCGGACAAAGAGACGCGCGTCCAGACGATCTCCGGGACGTGCCAGACGAAGACGTGCGCAACGGGCGAAAGAGGGAGCGAGAGGCCACGGAGGGGACCAGAGGAGCAGCGCTGAGGGAAAGAGGAGACGCGTGCCGTGAGAGCGAGCGAGAGGAAGCGGCGGCTGGAGGGAGCAGAAGGGCGAAGGTTTCCTCCGCTGGAAAACACGTACCTGTGCATAGGCGTCTGCAAGCGGGGGCCGCGCTCCTCCGCGCAGGAGATGGAGGTTTCCCGCGAGTAACAATGAAATCATTTCCCCGAACATCATTATGGCGTGTTAGGCTAGGGAATTGCACTTTACGCGGACCGAACGCGTAGAGCCAAGGGCCAACGTGACTTTTGAGCTCTCTCGCGCGCGCGCAACGATTCGACGTCTGCAAGATGTCGATCGATTCATGCGGAGAATATTTCTTCCTTTTCTAACTATTCACAAGTGTATAACTCACTTCATGTATAATTCCACATATCTGTGGACCGCTGCATAAGTATGCTCAGCACGCGGGGTCAAAGGGTCACCTATTGCTCTCGAGGAAGGCCTCTCTGCTAATTCGCGCTGAAACCCTATCAGAGATTCTTGACAATGTTGGGACCGCTGCGAGTTTCTCATCGAAAGATGAAAAACTCGCGAGGGAACGTCCTCCTTCCCTCTCTCTCTCTCTCTCTCTCTCTCTCTCTCTCTCTCTCTCTCTCTCTCTCTCTCAGGATATTTGCACCCGGAGGACGCCAATGTGCATGTACCCACGTAGAAATATCCAGCAGAAGTCGGTGAGCGGTCGGCTGCAGGGTTGCGGACAGGGGGACTCTCCGTCCGCCGGCGGTGGTGGTGGTGGGGGTGACCGCAAGAGAGCCAGAAGAGCGCGAGCCGCACGCGGGCGGCCGGCGGGACGGGGACGGGTGCGGTAAGGGGTCGGACCAATGGGAAGGAAGGGATGATGAGCAGCGGCACAGGCTGAGAGGAATCAGAAGCGTCGTCTCACTTCTGCGCGGTGAGTCGGCCTGTCGTGGTGACCTGTTCTCATGGACCCCGAGAGAGGTCCCTCTCTCTCTCTCTCTCTCTCTCTCTTTCTCTCTCTCTCTCTCGCTCGCTCTCGCCGCGCTCCTCCGTCTCCGCTCGGCCGCTTCTCTCTCGCGCTCGCCCCGCCGCCGTCCCGCTTCCCACCCATGCAAAACAGCCGATCGCATCCCTCTCGCCCACCCCTTTCGCTCCTACCCTACCGTCGGCCCCACTCCTGAGCCGGAGCTCAGGTTCCTCTCGTTTGACGATCACTTCCGTAGCTGGAGTCCAAGTCTCGCCGCGGTGCCTCAGTCTCTGGCTGGATGCAGAGCTGTGAAGACCCGAGTCGCGGTGCGTCAGCCGAGTGCAAGAGAGGAAGAGACCGAGAGAGAGAGAGAGAGAGAGAGAGAGAGTACGAAGTGCGATCGATCGCCGTGACAGTCAGTCGTGTTCGTCGGCGCGCAGAGAACAGTCGCCCGGAGCCGTCACCGCCGCCGTCGTCGTCGTTGCGCGATACTTCTCCTCTCCGGTGATATGCGTCGCACGGACGGCCCGCTGGGGTCGCATCGTCGGAATAGCGAATAGCTCGTGGGCTTTCCCGGAACATCCCCTCGGGTCCCGGGTCCCGGGTCACTCCGGGATCAAAGTGCGTCGGCCGCGCTGTGGGAGCCGATCGCATGGACTAGTGCGGAAAATTGTGATCTGTTGTTTGGGTGTTGGAGTTTACATCCCGGAGGAGTGAACTCTCCCGCGGGACCCAGCTTACCAGTCGGTTGGTCCGCAGCGGATCGCCGCCATCGGGAATCATGGATTACGCGAAGAAGGGTAAGTCTTGACTTGAGGGAGGAAACGGCGTGTCGCGGGAGAACGCCCCTGCGAGCGCGACCTATTCCAGGCTCATTTTCCGCGTTGTTTCATTTTTATATTTTCTCTTCTATTTTCCTGCTCCCTTTCTTCTCGCTCTCTCGTTGTTCTTGGTCCGACCAATTTTCTTCATCCCTCTCCGTGTCGATCTTTCGCTCTTCACGCGGGAGGTGCGCGTTTCCTTCACGGCGAGTGTCTTTCCCTGATCGTTTTTCGAGTATCGATCTCGGCTGCACAGGTGTAAGTGTGTGCGCACATACACACACACACACACCCGTGCGTATTTCTGTGCGTGCGTGCGTGTGTGTGCGCTTCGGTCAGGTGAAATTTTACAACACCTAGCCGCGACACTCACGCGTCTTCTTCAGGCCCGATCTCGAAAGCGAAGCGAAAGACTCCGTAAACGAGGCTCGCCGAGATAACGAGATAACGAGATTATATCAATTGTATTGGTGACGCAATTCTGTGTTTGTATATTCGTGTGGGTGATCTCGACGGTATCGGGATCAGATTCTTCGACGATCGAATTCGCTCCTCCGCGTGAGATAAGGGCGATAAACGAGCGTAATATCCGGGATCGTTCTTAATCTCGTGCGACTGTACACGCGTGTATGTGTGTGTGTGTGTGTCTCGGAACGCGCGTAGCGCTGAGAAGGATATCGAAGAGACGGCTACAATCTTATTTTCGTACGCGGGGAAGCACCGACCGCGAGGCGCGTGAAAAATGTTATCTAAAAGTGGCGCGCGATTTTTAACGAGCGACACTCGAGAATCCTCACCTCCTCGAGAACGATTCTGCGATCGATATATGACGAACGAGCTCATCAATGCTCCTCGCTCTAATGACGGACGGGGGGTTGATTAGAAATGTCAAAGGTCACGTCGGACCACGTCACAACGATGACGTGTCTGAATTCTAACCTTCGTAATGATGCATCGGCAGGATTTCCGATAAGGACCGCCTTATCCGCGGAGTCCTTTCGAGAAAGTTCTGAATCTGCATGCAAACATCACTCCCGAGTGGTAAAGCGAGAACGAAGAGGCCGGATCCTCTCCGGTTGCTAAATTGTATCCAGCGGGTGCAATATTGCGCGCACTATTGTGAAATATATCTCGGTTTTAATGAATTTTTACAAGTCTCGGAGAGAAACGGATATAGCTTTCTTTGTCTCCCTCTCTCTCTCTCTCTCTCTCTCTCTCTCTCTCTCTCTCTCTCTCTCTCTCTCTTTCTTTTCCATTTCTCTCTGCTGCGAAGATGCAACAAAGTTTCGGTCTCAGTCCAGGGGGACGCGCGTCTTTCTTCAAACGACGAAAGAAAGACGCATCAATCTTCTCGTGAATAATTTATTTTTCTTCACACGAATACTTTTTCGCGACAGAACTTACACGTTATAACACATTTAAGAATGCAAAATGCAATTGAGCATAGATAAAGAGAAGCGATCTTTATTAATAGCCCGTTAGGAATTCGTTACTTCGTCTTTGTCGAACTTCTCATATCGGCCAAGTATATGCGCGAGGCTATTTCCTAATTAAGGCGCGAGAATTTGCGACTTGCCTCGCAAGCGACACGGACGAATATCGGACGGAGGAAATTTTCTTCTTCCGAGTCCCGCGAAGGCTCGCACGGGGGGGATGATTACACGGCTCCATGAGAGAGCTGAATTAGGGTGTGGTGCAGAAAGTCAACCGCTCCCTTTTCCACCCTAGCCGCGGGACGCCCTTCGGAAGAGAGACGGATTAATTGGCAATGCTTATATTAATTAACGAGCGCACGTGTTTATCGATCTTCTTTTTGCGGTAATCTCGTCCGAGCGGTCGCGTAGATTGAAAAATACGCGCGGCGGAAGTTGGAATAAATTATAAGTTTATACATTATGCGTACAAACAATGATACATAAAGTAACGGGAGAAAAACACGCTCGACCGATTGCTCGCGATTTCTCCCGTAGAGCGTAAAGAAACCCGAAAGAATTCACGGGACCCTTGGGTCCCTCAAAGTCGTCTTTCGGTCTAATTCGCGATTTATATCTCGCTCGTTTCCCGGGACTCGCTCCTTCGCGTCTCGTCCTGACGAAAAACGCCGACTGCGCGCGCGATGATGCACGATCGATCTCCGCTCGCGGTTGAAGATTAGACGTCCGCCAACCGCACCTTTCATCACTCCCTCGCCCTCGCCCCGCCGCCGCCGTCGTAAGGTCGTGAGGCCCGGGATTCGTATAGGTGTTGTTACGAAAGCGATCTATATCTGCGGCCGTAGGTAGCTAGGTAGATGGGTAGGTAGGTAGGTAGGTAGGTATGACAACCGCGTCTAGGTACATGCGGAGACACTCGGTTGGGCCACGTATACGAGAGCACTTTGCGTGACATCCTTCGCGGAATGTAAAAGCGCTCCGGTACGATTAATGAACCGCGGCGCAGATTTTTTTTCTTTATTCGGAGAGCCTCGCTCTCTCCTCGGCGCCCGCATCGGTGCGTGCGTGCGTGTGTGCGTGCGTGCGTGCGGTCGCGTCGAGCGATTGCTTTCCGCAGGACCGCTCCTGCCGCCACGAGGAGCGTCCACTCGAAACGATTATACCGCAGGCTACCTCCGGGAGAAGCGACGCGCGACGGCTGTGCGAGCGTTTGGTCAAACTTGCCAATCTACGATTGGCGTACGCGTTTTGGACTCCCCTTTCCACCCAGCGCTATCCATCTTCCGCGAGAGTCGCTCACTCACTCCTGCGTTCGAATCTCCCGATCTCCGGTCTGAAATTCGAACGGAAATGCGGACGCTCTCGCAGAAGTGTTCACGTGTCATCGTAAGCAGAAATAATGTTGCATCTCGGTGGACGGCCATAATGGGGCCGTGAGATTGTGTGATGGATGGCAGAATCGAGCCCTCCAAAAGGCCGTTGCTCTTTCGAAAAAGCAGATAAGATTTCCTCGTCGAACGCGGACGAGCCGCTGCGTCCTTCGGCGCGACGGACGCCCTCGAAAGAGGGACGGACGTCAGTCTGTTCCGCCGGTGGAACCGACGGAAAACGGGATAAGCGGAAGAAGAGGGTCGACGGGCACGAGGGAGCCGGGTGCTCATGCGTCAACTTCGGAGTAAAGCCAGCCGCGAGCCGGGCCGAAGGGTTGCTCCGCTGGGTCACGGATGGCTGCACCCAAGGTTGTCAGAGCTACAACTCTCGAAACACACTAACCGCCCGCCATCTTTGTTCCTCCTGCGTGGTGCGTGGGTGTATCCGAGCGTGGAGGAAGCGGGGATGACGAGGGAGAAGCGGCCAAGAGGGGGCAAGAGGATGGCGAAGAGGGAAAAGAGCCACCGCTGCTGCTGCCGTCGTTGAGAAAGAGAGAGAGAGAGAGAGAGGAGAGAGAGAGAGAGAGAGAGAGAGAGAGAGAGAGAGAGAGAGAGAGAGAGAGATAGCGACGACGGCAGCAGAGAAGGAAAGGGGAACAAGCACGAGACGGCAGGGTTACGAGGACGAGTAGAATCGGAGATAGACGAGGGCCGGAGGAGCGGGAGGACGGAGAAGGACGGGACGCGGTTGTGAGTCTGCGGCTGCGGGCAGGAAGGAAGACGAAGAGGAGAGAAGAAGAAGAAGAAGAAGAAGAAGAAGCGCACTTGGCGTGATCGCCGGCGGACGGAGCGATGGACGGATGTCGGCGGCGGCGGCGGCGGGAGAACAAGGGAGACGCGTCCATGGGCGAGAAAGAAGTCCAAGAGCGGGGGAGAGAGGAGGCGGAGGCGAAGAAGGAATTGGCGATCATGAGCGGGACACGTCCGAGCGAGATAAGCGGAGCAAGAGGAAAGAACGAGCTCGAGGGTACGTCCGAACGCAAGATAAAGGGGCGCGATAGAGGGGCCGCGCAGAGCGAGCGAGATAACACGAGAAAAAGAGAGCGAGAAAGAGAGAGAGAGAGAAAGAAGCGAGCCGAGGGACAAGGAGGAAGCCCCTCCGAGGGGAACGGGCGTGCGCGCGATAGTGGGGAGAATGGTGGTCGGACTGGAGGGGAGAGTGGGAGATAAAAGCCCTGCTGAGAGATGAGAGGCGGGCAATGGCGGGCGCGCGCGGCGTCACCGCGCCACGTTCCCCCACTCGGCGCGCTGCTTCAGCGCAGCATCTTACACGAGTCTCCCTGCGATTCGTAGGTGGCGGTGGCCGAGCGACGAACGGAAATGCGCATGTACGCCCTCGTAGCGCGAGCATGACACTGCTCCCTTTCGGTCGCGCGCACCACCCCGAGCGAGGTCGCGCCTTGCGGGGTGCAATGCAGATATAGGCGTGGCGCGCGCGACGCTTGTTCTTCTTTGGTCCTGCGGCCGTTCGGGAGCTTTTCATCCGAGAGGAAACAAAATGACTGGAAGGCTCCCCGAAAGATGAAACGTAAATAGCGGGAGCGAAAGAAAAAGTAGTTGATTAACCTTCAATCAAGATACAATGATTTTATAATACAACCGGACAGAGGCCGCTCAGCACGAAATAGCGGAAATTTATAATTCTAAAATATTTTACTTCTTTTAGTTCGGTTTATTCATTTAATTACGAAATAGTAACATTAATACATATTATAAGTTATTTATTAGTAACATATTACATTCGTTACATTTGATATTTAATAAAAGAGCCTCAGAGGTTTCTTTATCCGGATGAAGATTAATGTCGACATATTTATCGGTTGCGAAATTTTTGACTCGAGACCATTTGGATTTTGAACTAGTCATTTTTTCTTTCTTCAAGTTTGTATATTTATCTCACTTCAACGGTGAAAAGCCGTTCTAGCTGAGGAAAACACTCTTTCGGAATTTCTGTTGTTTTTTCGAGTGTTTTTCTTCACTCTCGTGTCGAAAATACGGTTGATATGGTCTCTCTCTTTTTTTTGACAGAGCGACCTCTAGTGTTTCAGTGGAAAGAATCCCATGTAGAGAATTTTTTGGAATCTATTTAGGACAGTCCAGTTTCCTAGAGAAATTA